AATTAATAGCAAACACGTTTTTTCTAATTGTTTTGGATTTTAGATAAAAGTGCTTCTTCGCCTGCAGACGCCAATGAGGAATCTGTATTTGCTGTTGCGGTAGACATTGAAAATATTGCGCCTCCGAAAAAGCGAAAGAAATGTGAGAAATCTCAAGTATGGAAGTTTTTTGAAAAATGTAAAGAAAAAAACTTTGTGAAATGCCTGGAACACATCAAACATGCAAGAGCATTTAAAGCGTGCACATCCGCTCAAAATCGTTGAACAAAAATCGCAGACGATTGATAAATTTATTGAGCGCACAGATGTATATGAACCCTCGTCATCTAGAAAGGCGTACCTAGACAAAAAACTGGCCGAAATGGTTGCAAGCGACTTGCAACCATTTAGTATTGTTGATGACGAGGGTTTTAAAAATTTTGTCAATGCGCTTGACCCAAAGTATGCGTTGCCTAGTCGTACAAAATTGCAGCATGTTCTTTTAAAAAACATGTATGATGACATGATACTGCAATTGAAAAACAAATTAACTGATATCGAATATTGTGCAATAACTTCAGACTGCTGGACATCAAGCAGCAATGAAAGTTATTTGACTGCCACTTGTCATTTCATTGACAACGATTTTGTTCTGAGAGCTGCTGTATTGGGAACGCGACCTCTTGCTAATGCAATGAACCACAACAGCGAGAATATTGCAGATACATTACGATGCATTTGTCAAGATTTTAATATTTTTGAAAAAATACAAACGATCGTAACCGACAATGCTGCTGTTATGCAAAAGGCTTGCAGTCTTCTGGGTAAAAAGCATTTGGGTTGTTTTGCCCACACACTAAATTTGTTGGTGCAGGATGTCTTAGCACATGAACTGGTAAAGCCGATTTTAGTGGAAGCTAAGCGAATAGTTTTATATTTTAAAAGCAGCGCCATCGCTTATGCTAAATTTAAAGAGTGTCAAAATGTTAGCAAGCCCTTATGCTTAATACAAGAAGTGCCCACTAGGTGGAACAGTGCTTATAATATGCTGAAACGTCTTATGACTACAAGAGATGCTGCATTTACTGCACTGCTCCATTCTAATAGAGCGCCAACACCCTTAAACGAGGACCAGTATAATATCATTGAAGATTTATGCGCTCTTTTGGAGCCTTTTAATACGGCTACCAACAAAGTATCAGCTTCAAAAACTGTCACCGCATCGCTTATTATTCCGACTATTTGTGGAATCTTAAGTTCCTTAGAAGAACTAAAAAAAATGTTGAAAAGTTCAGTAGGAAATACAATTTTCAACTTCCTGTTCTTAAAGGCGCAAAATCGACTTTTGCCTTATGAGGAGCGCACAATACCCAGGCTGGCTACCATGCTTGACCCAAGGTTTAAAAAATAAGGGTTCTGGTCTCCGTCGAATGCGCAGCAGGCAGCAAAAGCGCTTGAAAATGAATTAAGTAGTTTTGGAAAAGATGTGGAGAATACCTACCGCGAGGAACCGCCAACCGACACCCAAGATGGCTTCTTTAAATTTATAACACAAAAAATAAATGACAAAAAGAAAACCAACAGGAGTGATGCCATAATATCTATGAGGCAATATCTGGAGCAGCATAATGCACCTCAAAATACAAGCCCACTGGATTATTGGAAGGTAAATTTGTAATACATAAATTTATTTCATATTTATTATCGTACACTATCTTCTAGATTAACTCCATTCAATTCGAATCATTTGCAAAATGTGCAAAAAAAAATACTGATCATTCCTGCTAGCTCTACGGAGACTGAACGTATTTTCAGCAAGGCAGGAGAAATTACTGCGCACAAACTGAGCAGTCTAAAGCCAAAAGCTGTCGATATGCTAATTTTCTTAAAGCACAATAATTGGCTACATAATGGATCTCACGATAATTAATTTCAGTTTTAAGCTCAAGACTTGTGAAAAATAGTCAAGCTTTCTTTTTTAATTTTAAGTTACATTTTAAGACTTGTTAATTACAGTCGAACTTTTTGTTTTTAATTAATTTCAGTTTTAAGCCCAAGACTTGTGAAAGATAGTCAAGCTTTGTTTTTTAATTTTAAGTTACATTTTAAGACTTGTTAATTACAGTCGAACTTTTTGTTTTTTAGTTATAAGATAAATATGAACCAAAGTTTATTTTTAGGATAGACTTTTTTGTGATGAACTGGAATACAAATATTATTTTTATGAATTAAGACGAATAAGTATAAATGTTTATAAAATTGATTTTTTCTATGAATTCTCAATAATTTTTGAATGATGGAGCTATTTTCGATGGAACCATCGATACTATCGATATTTTAATCCATCGGACTCAAACAAAATCGATGGACGGTCCATCGATGGTTTTGCAGCACTACCCTGAACCCATTTTCAATGGGAAATCAGGGTATAATGGTTTTGTTGAGATGTATGTAACAGGCAGAAGGAGGCGTGGCAGACCCCACAAAGTATATATATTCTTGATCAGGGCGACGAGCTGAGT